CCCACCTCGTACCTTTCCCCCCTTTGGTTATTATAGTCAACGAAGAAAGATAGACGCCCGTAAAGATCGTTTCCGGTCTTTTTCCCTTCGAGGAAGAAATAGAAAATGGTCATGGTCTTCGTCGTTGTCGTTGTCGCAGTGCACCGTTGGTGTTGCTTTTATTTTTCAGAGCGTGAAGCAAAACAACATGGAGAGAAAAGAAGAAGAAGAAAAAGAAATAGAAATAGAAAAACACATAGGAAAACGATATACGAGACTATACGACGCCCTAAGTACAATACATACGAACTTATTACATGCATAAGTGCATAAGTGCATAAGTGCATAGAAAATACATACACACACACATATATTCATATATAAACGAAATAGGGGGGGAAAAAAAAAGAAACATAAGAGAGTAATAATTATTTATCATAAATGTAGGCTAGTAGAATAACTTCCGCTAGAAGGAAGGTGGTAATGGTAATAGTGATGGTGTATAGTAAACCCAATTAGTTAAGATATTTTTATAATAATAATAATAATAATTATTTCCTTTAACTAATTTTAAATCGTTGAGCATGGCGACACGAATGGGCGGCTATGGTTATTGTTCTTGTATTGGGGTATTATGGTGGTGGTGGTGGTGGTGGTGGTAGTGATGGTGTGCTACTGTGATGATGGTGTTTAATTATTTGAATCCGTTATGTTCTCGTTCTCGCGTCTTGAAACGCAATCCTCTCGTGTAATGCGAGACAATCTCCCCCTTTCACCCCATACCCCTCATCGTCTACCTTTCTCTCTCTCTCTTTCACTCTAATCTTCTTCTTCTACTTCTTCTACTACTTCTTCTACTTCTTCTTCTTCTCTTTTTACACATTGAATGTAGCACGCATGTCGGTGGCGGTGGCATTATGTCACGACCATTAGTTTTAACGAGCATCGGCTCCGAATAATTAGTATCACGCACCCAAACGACGATATATATATATACATATATGTGTGTGTATGTGTATAGATATATATATATATGTATGTAAGTGCAATTCTTTTCAAGAAAAAATTTCGCTCGGTTTACTTTTTCTATTATCGTTATTGATGATCCATGATGATTATTATATTCGTTGTAATTAAATTGACGTTTCTAATCCTACGAATTATAGAAAGATGTCAAATTGTTTTTTTTTCTATTTTTTTTGATTGTTCTATATATACTGTATGCAATTTGTATACCTGTAGTATTTCATACATCACTATAATAAATATCCATGATATTATTATAATTATTTGAATTGTTCTATTTGAAATATACTTTTAAAAAGTAAACACAACAAATATATTTCTCAATATAATTAAATAATTATACTCTAAATAAAATAAATAGCTTCCTTTTTTTTTATTACTATTCCTAAGAACGATTTAATTAAAATATATATAAAAAAAATATAAAAAAAAAAAGAAAAATGATCACATATATATGAAATGATAGAAAAATATTTTCCAGGCAGTGTGATATCTTAACTCTGTAGAAAATTCGTTTGGACAAGAAAAAATTAAAAATTAAAAATAATATTTGAAACGTAAACGTGTTTTTATCTCACACACACACATATATATATATATATATATATCACGTTTACTCGTTGTCACATTGTGAAGACGATGGGTCGTTCTTACGTCATCGTTTCACAATTCACATCGCTTTTCCCTAGAGTGACGACGACTATGACTACGACGACGACGACGAGAGCTGGAAACGCACCATGTTAGATTACATTGTGCGCGAGGAACGTGCATGGTCCCGCATACTAATTTCTCTTCATGTTTATGATCTCGTCCTGGAAGCCCAGGCCAATCCCTCCATGGTGTATACTCATGCATCATTCTACATACTCTACTTGAGAGTAGAACGGAGATTGAATTATACTACCAACAAATTGAAATTATTTTTCTCATACGTATGGGTGTGGGTGTGTGTGTGTGTGTTACTTTTGTGTTCCAAACAAATATATATATATTATTTATTTATTTTCTTTGATTTTTTAAACAAACCAAAAAATTCTTAAATCATTCGAAATCAATTTTATATTTTATAATTATATTTGGGATATGTGATATATTTATATTGAAATTAAATAACATTGATCATGTTAAAAATTGTTCTATCCTTTTAAATTATATAATATATAATGTTTAATTATATAATATTAATGTTAATAAATTATATAATGTTTAATTAGTTTTGTTTTTGTTTTTGTTACAGGTAAGCTTCCTTGGTTTGCAATAACACGTGTGTTAAATCTCTCACCATGATTTTCTTACTTCAATTCCATATAAAATCGCGTTTATAACAGGTAAGCAATCTCTTAGCTAACTTTCTGATCTCGGATAATCCTAATCGAAGTTAGACTTGGTCTTCCCTTTCACATCCAACTAACTATTCCAAGAAACTGTGATCCAGAACGAGCAATGGCGTGTGTAAAATGTTTTCAACGTCAATGAATGACCATAATTATAGGTTTACCGTGTATATATCAAAGATAAGTGTACGTTATCCTTGAAATTGATCATTTAATTAACATCTCATTGAATCTTATTATTTCTTTCTCGTATTATATTCTTATTAATTTCTATTATTATAACATTTTAATTTTGAAATATTTTATTTAATTACAATAATTTTAAATGTCTCTCGTATTATTTTCATTTTATTTTTTCTATACACGTAATATTTAAAATTCTTTATTAAATATTTTAATAATCGTATTTTACTATACACATATGTTTATTTCATGAATCAAATATAATATTATTATTTTACATGCATACGCGTACACATAATTCATATCTGAAATATTAAAATTCTTAGGAAGATCATTTCGGAATAAAAGAAAAAAAAATAGGGGGATTTATGACAGATAAATTTTTCGGTACGATGATCAATTAGTACAAAATTAACATATTAATCTCATCAAGAAATAAATACGTGCATTATATCCTAATCAAATATATAACACATTTTACACGTACCCATAAATTATCTCATTAATAAAAATATGATTTGTACGTAAAAAGTTGCATATAAATTTAAAAATATATATATCAAATTATAGCTTTATACCCCATTAATACTAATAATTTTAGCGTATGTTGCATATACCAAAAAGAAAAATTATTTCGAATAAATTCAAATAATAAATATAAAAAAAAAAAAAAGAAAACTTAATGAATATATCGAATTA